TCTAATCATCCTCTTCCATCCAAACTGAGATCCAACCCCACCAAACATCCGTCCTCGTGTCTCAGGGACACAATGATATATATTTTTGTTTCAGCCTGGTTCCCCTACCTCCTGAGCATTTAACTTGATTTCACACTTGATGTCATCAACAAAGTCAAACTGAAACACAATCATTTTGTTTATCATTGATCAGTCAAAATAGCTTAGGCTGTTCCCCACCATTCATATGCATCCAATTTCAGCCCCGTAATCTCTAAGCTTCTATTTATCTCGTACAGTGGAGCCTCTCTCCTCATACTACATGACTGAGGCGCATTGGCACACTTCAGAAACGAGCTGAGCCAATGTGCATTGGGCCATCAGTCATTCACAGAGTCAGACATCTAACTAAAACCACCGAGTTGCTAAAATGTCACACATTTCACTTAGCAAATGCCTAAAAAAAAGGATTATAAAATACTTTTCTATATTTCTTTTTCATTTTTTTCCTACATTTTCCAACATTAGCCATCTGCACAAAACAGAAAACGTATGCACTTTAGCCGTCTTATTAATTTAAATTCATGTTACTTACAGAAGGTCCCTTACAAGTCTCCAGTAATCGAGAAACACATTAATCTGTCAAGTTAGAAGTCCTTTTAGGAGCAGTGCCTGAAAATGTGGGAACTAAACATTTACATTTTTAATTTCTAATGTGTTTGGATAATATGCAATTTGAACTGGTTCTCTTCAAGTATCGTCACAAACATTTTCCTGTCAGTGTTCCAGTGTTTTTACAAAGTTAACAAATGGATCTTAGAGTGCTTTTAGATCAAAAGATGATTAGCGTGTATGAATTGCTCCATCCTACTGTGGTCTTTATTTTCATGTTTTAGCAGACCAAAACCAGCCAATATGTTTGCAAGAGACAACTTCATTTTACAGACCTTATTGTGATTCAGATTAACTTCAGTGACATGTTTGTAGAATCATTTAGAGTCAAGTCGCCTAATGCATGAAACCAAGTTTTAGGGGTTAGAAAAGCTTTACATCTCTGGTGGATAGATGTTCTAATCCACAGATGTGCACTGTTATTCCATCTCACACTTTTACATTTAGATTTGTTTTGTGACACAGCATGTGTAGAAAAGATGAAGATTCAGGTTTTCGACCTAAAACGGCTTTAAACATGCATTTTTTTTCTCATTGCCAAAAGGAGAGGGACTCTTCTGGCTGCTCCAGAATCTATAAAAAAATCGATAAAAGATTTCTAAAAAATCTACTACTTACTTGATTCATGACCTCAGTGAAGGGTTTCCTAATGAGTATATGGTCTCAAATACTAGTTTGAGTCTTACTGAGCACAACTTGATGTCCATTTTTATAAAAGGAATATAATGCAACGTATTCTTCAGTGTGGGCCTCCCGCTTAATTGATAAATCACTACAGTGTCTTTAGTTGGCTTCAAAAAACCAAGATTGCCAAGTCATCCACAAACTATGGGCATCTTTTATCTATGGTTTATGCCTGAAGGACAAATCAAGAATCCTCTGACTTTAAAATGTGTCTGTTATAAAGTGACTTGGTTGTTAAACTTGCTATATTTGTGCACGTGCACAGTTTTACTCTTGACACAACTGTCCTTTAAGGTCACTATCATTTGTTTAGGAGTTTTTTGTTTTTTTTCTACTTGTTATTGGTACTGGTACTGACTCTTTGCAGGACTCAGTGTTTTTTGTTCCTTTAGTGAGGTTCGAGGAGAGGAGACTACTTAGTGACAACATCATCTCTCCTTCATCTCTGCTTTGCTGCAGGCCAAAACCTGAATGCTACTCCTCCTCCCCGGCGCTCTGATATTGACGAGATCCCCTAATGTGGTTAAAAGCCCCCCTTAACAGGCATGACTTTTACAGGCCCCCCTCATGATGTCCTGGAGGAGTACTCAAGGGGGATTGAGGAGGTTGAAGGAGGTCAGGAGGAAGCTCTAGTAGGGGGTTCTGAGGGGGAAATGGAGAGAAGAAATCTCTCCATGCTGCTCAAGTACATCAAACTAAATGATTTTTTTTCGTGGTTCTTATCTTGCATCAGTGTGTACAGATTTCTGTGCATGTGTTTACCTACCCTTTGTAATCACTGTATTTACTCTACGCGAGCAGGCTGGTGTTTGAAAACTGATATCTGGACTTCTCATGCACCATCTCTCCCTCTTTCTCTCTCAACTTCGGGAAGTGCAAGTAGCCATATCCTGCCCTTTGCTGCCCCAGGGGAGGCATCTATCACTTGACGTTTTTAGTGTGGCTTCTCAATTAACCCATGAAAACTGTAAAGCTCTTTTCTTCTTTTTACAGCTCAGCAAAAGCAAGTGAATGGCTTAAATAAATGCGTCATTAGTTCCAGCACTGGCCTGTCAAAATAAATTATCAGTTTACACCCATCTAAAGCAGCATTACTGTCAGTACAACGTAAATGTTTATTTTGAATTACGACCTTATTATGGGATTTCAGCATAACCCGTAAATCACCGGCCTCTTGGATTTTTCACTTTCACAAACTTTTGAAACATTGCTTGGATTCAATTTTACAAAAAAAAAAAAACAAGTCACTGCCATTTTTGGAACAAAATGAGGCCTTTCCTGTTGCAACTTTCAGCAGTGCTACATGAATTATTACACCACCTTCTGCCCTAACATGACTTTGACCACTAATCTGTCCCGTTGAGGGAAAGCTGGCACGCTGTAATGGCAGTAAAACGTGTCAAACTTTGCCACAGAACAGGCCCTGCAGTTGTTTATTTGTTCAGCTTGAACACTTGTAAGCATCTGTTAACACAAGCCTTGTCCTTTCATTTAGACTCATGCTATCTTCTCCACAGCACACGGTGATGAGGCAGTTATTTCTTTATTGCCACTGTTGTCAAAAATGTTACTTAACCAACAAACTGAAAAAAGAACAGCCTGTGACCCTTTATTTCATTTCTTCTGTTGAGTGCAGCTGGTGGGGCTAAGACGGGCCATCAGCAGGCAGAGAGGACAGAGCAAGTTAAACAAGATCAAACTCAGCAGTGGCTCCATACCCAGGCCACTCATGGGCATTCAGACAGGTGAGCTATTTAATGTAGATCATAAGGTGATGAAGGTGGTGTTTATGCATCTATCTGTATTGATTCACCTTAAGACCTGCGCTGTATCATTCTAAAATAAAATATTCCAGTGCACTGAGAATGACATATTAACTTAATTGATTAACTTATTAAATAATTTCCCCCAGGGATCAATAAAGTATTCTGATTCTGATTCTGCTGAATCAGGGAGATGACAGAAATAAGTCAGTGTGTAGGCCTGTGCTATCCCTGCCCTATTTAAAAAAAACAGACATAATCCATATAATTTGTTTCTTTTTTTTAAATTTAATATGAGTTTTTTGCTTGGAAATGGAGCCTGCAATAGAGAGTTAATCACTGAATTGGTGTGAAGCATGCAGAACACTAATCATCTAAGCATTTTGTGTTTTGTCCTCAGTGATCATTTCTTACCGGACATAAACTCATCCATTCTGAACGGAGGCAGAGTGCAGCTTGTAGTGAGTATCGGTCCCCCCAGCCATGCTGTTTCCCCCCCTTGATTTGAATCTTTTTTGTGGCGCAGTTGCATGCATGTAAAGCTATGTAGTATTTACATTTACCAGTCAGAGTCACATCCCACACCGTAGGTCCTCTTCCTTGGAGTCTGTCTCATCAACTTTGATTTAAAGGAGGAAGGGGCGGGGGGAGTCTGAGGTTTAGCTCTGTAGTGACACTTTCAATTGGATCAAGTGGGCGCGATTTCTTAATTTCACTTGTTGAAATCCCAGTGTCACATTGGAGCAGTTTGTTTAGACCTGAGAACGATACTGATGGTTGTGAAGTCTTTGAAGTCACAAACCACAGGTCTCCTCGTGCCATTATGGAGCAGTGTGACTTATGTTTACTGGCAAGAGGGGCCGCCCCTTTCCTCCAGTTTCTTAGATATATCCTCTGACTGCAAAGCTGCTGGGTTGTTGATTTTCAGAATGTTCGACTACTTGCGTGAGATGTTTCATTTTGGGCCTCGTGTGTGTGTGTGTGTGTGTGTGTGTGTGTGTGTGTGTGTGTGTGTGTGTGTGTGTGTGTGGTGCATGCAGGCTAACCCAGCATATGCAGATTGTCTAAATCACACCAGTGGACTGTGGACGAACAGCAATTTGGTTGGCCAGGGTTGCAAAGTGAACAGTTATACCCGTAGAACCTCCTCCAGTCATGCAAGTGAGTCTTGTAAACTTGTAAACTGCTTTTCTCCACAACATCACAGTGATACTGGGAATAATGATCTGGTCTTTCAGCAGAGTGTAAAAAATATCTGTATGTATGTGAAGTAAAAAACCCAACTCTCCTTACAGAAGTGTTTCCTTTAGTTTTTTTTTTTAACACATATAATTTTTAACACATATAATTTATAGCAAATTTAGAGATGTATATATATTTAAAACTCATTATGTATGCAAAATGTATTTTTATGCAAATGTGTTAATTATTACAATTCTAGAAAGTTGCCCTTAACTTGAAACCAAGTTCTGACTTAAAAATAACAATTAAGAAAAGGACCAATAAACATATGAGCTCACTGTCACATATATCTCTATATTCTCCTGTTAGCAGTCACAGAGAGAAAAGCACAGGCTCAAATTCAAACTCTTCAAAATCTTTTGGCAGGGGTGCACATAACTGTGTGTTTATTAGATGTGATCTCTTTAGGTTTGCATAGTTGCACCTATGACTACTGGGCCACACAGATCTGAGTGCGCAGAGCCAGGGATAAAGACCGCTGCTTATTCAGCCTAGACCGAGTCCGCTGGTCGTCTGCTGCGGGAGGGGAGGGGAGCCACAAGGTCGGGCTGGGGACAGAGTGTCGTGAAATTTTCCTCTGACAGGAAACAGGCAGCGAGGGAGAGAAAAAAAATCAGTCCTTTCAGTGAAGAATGACTGGCCCTTCTGTCAGGAGTAGTGGGGCTCAGGAGTTTGAGTGACAAAGATGCTACTGACAGGCTGACAAGCAGATGACCACATTAAACAAGCCCAGGAATCTGAGTGAAGGAGAGCCCTGTCCATGTTAACGAAGCCAAATTGGATTCCGATGATGATTTCAAAATGATATCCACGAGGTGCAGCAGCAGGAACGAGCATTTCCCTGTTAGGCAGGCAGACTCTACGGGGAGTGTGGCCGGGAGAAAGAAAGCCTCTTTGTCCGCACTGATCAAAACATCCATTATCAAAATTGTGAAGGACAAATTGAAATATGGATGTATGTGTAAGGAAAGAATATTTCTTGAAAAGCCAATTAGATATTTTATAAACTTGGAAAGGGTATCTAATGGTCCCAGTGGTCATCAAAAAGTCATGGCTTGGAAATTCCTTATGGAGTAAAATCAGGGAACGCAGCTTCTTTGATGTAAATCTTCATACTGAGCCTACGTGATCCTGCAAAAAAGTGTGACTAACAATCGCCTTCGCCCGTAAAGGGGCATACATCATCAAGGTGGGGGTTTAAAGTTAGAGGGTTCACTTAGTTTGGTATAGCAGTAAAGACTACATAAATAGTCTATAACCTGTTGCAATGCGATACTCACCTCTTGCCGGGACAGTACCATAAAATGCATTTCTCAGCTCACACAATATTTTCATTACGTGTGCAGAGGAAACTACTTCAGTTAAGCTCCTCTTGCAACCCTAATAGGAGTAAGATGACTGAAAACAATTTGTTTGGTCACAGTGGTTTGTTAAAATGAGCAGTTTAAACAAAAATAAAACTCTGTATTGTTAATAACAGAATGCACAACTAGCAGTGCTATTAGGAAAACATGCAGCAAAAGTTCAGTGTTTATTACACTGAACTTTTAGTGCAGTAATGCTTCTGATTTCAAACGCATTACTGCACAAAGTTCCTTAATATACTCAGCCACCAAAGCTGACCTGGAAATAAACACCAAAACGCTGTGTATTAAGAGAGACCACGAGGAAAGGAAAATCGCAGTGTTAGCCCAACAGACTTGAACAAAATCAAAACTTAGAGATGTGTGATTATGTGTGACTTGTGAGCGGATGGTTATTCTATACAGTTTGCCAGCTGTGCGGATATTTGGGGCTAGCATAGAACGTGCGATGCATCCCAGCCCTCCCACCTAAAGAGCGCTTCATGCTGTTGGACTCCCTGTGTGAGGCAGCCGTGCTGACTGCGGGTTTGCGCTCTACACGTGGAATACATCATACCCTGTAGAAGCGCTGCCTTTGTTCTGTATGTTTGAAAAGCTTTGTACTGATCCCCAGGTGAAAGTGGAACGGCCTGTGATACAGCACACACACTGCTCCCGAGAGGCACCGAACAACCCGCCTGCTCACACTTAAGTCTTTAGTGTGAGATTTAATGCAGCACCATCTCGAGTATTTTGAGTCACACAAAATTGACGCTCAATTTTCAAAACATGTATATTAAGTACATATTACAAATCCTCATATTTTAACCTACTTAACACTGCATCATTAGTTAAAGCTTTTATATTTACTTTTATGCCATGCATTTTTAAGTACTTAACAATTTCTATAATGTGACCCTGGCAAACTAACATGACGTTGTGTGTTGCAAAGATAGCCTTCCCTCTAGAAAACTATGTTATGAAATTAATAATAACCCATGTTAATAAATTCTATAAAATATGTGAGCAGACACAGAAGTACAAAATGAGTTCTCGGTGTCAACTGTTGTTTAAAAACACATATAGTATGAGTCAGCAAAGTAAATTCACTCTGCTTGTTTTGAATGTTAAATACTGATGCCGTCTTCTTCCATTTTGTCTCCAGGAAAAGAAGTCCCATCTCCCGTGCGAGTCACGTCTGTCCCGTCAAAAAAGGAGCGTATCTCCTTCCGTGACAACCCGGTTCAGCTGAGCGGTGGCTGGGGAGGAGGCAAGAAAAGGGACAGAGTGCGCAAGTAAAAACACAAAGCCTCCTTCCAGAGGTCACCACTTTTCCTGCCCTTGCTCTGCAGCCTCTAATAGATGCAGTTGCAGCTTTCTTATATGTACTTCGATGCATTTCGCGTCAAAAGATTATTAAAATATGCGTTGGAAGAGCTCACGTGGATACTTTAGAAAATTTTTAGCTATTGAAATTCGATGTGATTTTCCTTTGCCGGTCAGCTTGATTTTTAATGCTGTTTTATTGCCTGCACTAAGATGGAAAAGCAGATGAAAACTCAAGACTCCCTTTTCTGTAAATTAATTAAGGCCAACAGGACTCAGACCAGCCCAAATATCTGCAGGCGGTTCTATTATGTTCATTCAAGTATCAAATGCTGTGTTCTCAAGTATCATTGCCCAAACCTCACTGCATCCAACTAGCACCAAAACACATGGAACAAAGTCACAAATGTTGAGTGGATGACATGCTTCATATGCAAATGATGGCAGGAAATAAGAACCAGGACTTTTAATGCCTGTTTCTTAGGATGCTGTCATTTTGTCTCCATGCAGATTTTAAATACAGATTGTAGCTATGAGATCAGTCTTACCCTTTTCCAATTTTCTGTTGCTTTCTCAGAGCAGACTTTATGAAAGTGCAGAATTTTAGTTTGACTGCCCTGTATTTGCGTTTAACGCTTGCTAACCAAAAGTGCACGTGAAATGACTGCATTTATGTTCTCAGCACAAACGTTGGTGTTAGATTTGCAACACTGTTTTCTTTATCTTCTGCTGTGGGTCGTAATGGCCTTGTCTGTGTATTTGAATTTGGAGAGCCAAGGCGTCCGTCCACAAACACAAGCCCTACTGAAGGCAGTGAACATCAGGCTTGAAGGTTCTTTGCTGAAAATGATAAGTTAATGAATGTCAAAACAAATAGTCAGAGTTGCAGAGTGGCTCCCTGGAAGGAAATGCATGTCGGCCTGTTTATTTTCCTTCTGTCTTTCACTTAAGCATGGCTTGAGGCTGTGTTTTGACTGTACACGATCTGATGGGGATTTTTGTCTTGGAAAGTGGCGCATGCCAGAGATGTGGTGGTCCTGCCCACTTGGGGGCTGTTGTGAAACTGGAGAGCACTGTTCTCCTGCAGCAGGGAGACTGATTCTTCTAGTTGCTTTTTTGTAGACTGTGATCATACCAGTACTGCATAAGTCAAATCTGATGCTTTGCTTTACAGACAGGTGTGCGTGGCCTATCTGTGCCTATGTCTTGTCACTAGTATTACTTGACACAAGTTCAGATTTGCCATTAGAGCTGTTTTCTGCAGCTTCCTATTCTGAAGGGATGTTGTTAAGCTGTAATCTACCACTTTTCATTTCATTTGTTTACGTTTGGATTATGGGTAAATTATATGTAACCTAAGAGATCCAAAACCCATTGCCTTGTAAAATGAGAGCTCCACTGCACATTTAGATAAGACCAAGAATGTCCCTCTCAGCCTCGTCTGCCATGTCAATGGGACTCTGCATCCAGATCTCTCCAAGTGCTCTCTTTAAATGCATTGAAGTCCATAAAACCACATTTCCATGTTTTCACTACAATTTGCAAATTTTGCACATTTTTGCTGAACATTTTTGAAGTACGCTGTGGAGTTATAACCAATTCCTGGCAGCTTTTAGGTTCCTATGCATTTCTGAATGTTTGAAAATGAATTAACAGACACGTGAAATGTTAACTTTGGCCAGTGGTTTCAATTTAAAGAAAGCAGTGGCTATCTGGAAAGATTTCTGAAGAACACTGGTGTACTTTAAATGTGTAGGAGGTTTTTGGTGGTCCAACTAATGCAAATAAAGAAAGCTGTGGTGAGGTAATGCAGGATAAGGGTGTGGCGTGACCTTGACATCAAATTTGTGTGTTGCAAGAAAATAATATATATTCTGAAGTGATTACATTTTTTAGTCAATATTAAATCTTAAAGAGTTTGAATTGTATGTACATTCTTTAAAGGGGACCTTAATTTTGCAGAGATATATTGCGCTACTTAAAAATGCTTTAGAATGTAAAACCCTTATTGATAAAAATGACAGAGGAGTTGGATTCTATTTATTTCTACTTTATTAGTAACTCTGTCAGAGTAAGAGCATATTGTGCAAGCTGCCCTCTAAAAAAGAAAATGGAAATGTTTTCATTATCAAATGTATCATTAAATGAATGTTTAGACACACTTTTTTATGTCTGTTTTTTTATGATGACTCGAAATATAAGATGTGTTTTATGAAGAAGTAAATAAGAAACACAATTTTTGTATTGTAATAATAATTGATGTGATATGATTTTGTTTGTTAAATTTGGTTTGATAATGCCTAAACTGCCTTTTCCTTTGCTGCTGGTTTCAGCAGTTTACTACAATAATAATGGTTTATGTGGTGTTTTGTGCTTTTATAAGTACTTGATGTCTTTTAGCATCTCCCATGACACAGAGGTCATAGAGACTGTTTTGCTGTTCACTGATTATTTTTTTTGTTAAGCCTAAACCTTTTAGATATGTTTCAAGTATTAGGAAAAATATATTAATTTATTAATGTATTAATTGATTAATCATATGCGAAATTTATAGTCTACAAAAAAAATCTTCACAATGACAAGACGAAGAAGAACGAATTTCCCATTTATAATTTCCCTGATATATAAAAAAGCATACACTATTATAAACAATGTATTTAACATTTCCTTTACCCTTGTACTGTACCATAGCATTCGATTACTTAACTGGACGGTTTGCAGTGGTTTCAGTCGTATAGGGGGCCTGTGCAACATGTTAACATGAACTCAGAAGACTTAGTGAAATCACTGAGACTTGAAGCTTGTTAGTGCTCAGGAATGCCTGACTATGGAAAAGCAAATGGCAAACAAAATGAAAACAAACTTTCGTGACGCTGATGCACTGCTTTCACTTTCTGAAATTCAGCCAAATGTTCTGCAGACTCGAGTGGCATCAATAAGCTCACAGTTTGTGCTTTTGGGGAAAATAAACTTTGGTCTTTTTCTGTGTGTGTTTCATGCAGCCAAAGTTTGAAGACATTTCGTTAAATTGAATTATACCCAAGGGTAGCTTTGGGCATCATGATGTCATGTTTATGCCTTCTGAAGTGGCAGATTTTGGCCTGTTCAGTTTCAGCTTTTTTGTGTGTTTGATCATGTTCAGTCACATTAAGGCTCAAAAGGTTGAGAATTAGTTCAATTCAATCATATATTTTAGAATTGTCTTTTTTTAAAGTCAAGTTGTAGGTCTTTCAAGGTTGCTCACATGACATTGGCAGCAGTACTTATAGAATTAGCCTGACTGATCAACTCATGACCAGCTTCTCCACTTTTGCAGAACCATGCAGGAGCTATTGTGGCTGGAATTTCCAGCAGAAAGCCCACCAAACCACAGTGAACTTTTAACATTTTCTCCACAGCATGAGCCAGTGTGCAAGGTCATCGTAGGAAGGCTAAGACACCCCCTGCTACTTAGGAGCACACCTATTTATTTTTATTTTTTCTCCTGTGGCACCATGCAGCCCCAGGTAACTGCCACTGACCCTCGAGCGAACCAAAGCTATGCACGGTGTGCATCGCAGGTGGTGTAGCTCAGGGTGGAGATGTGGAGGTGGAAGATGGGCTTTGGTTAGCGGTAATATAATTCTTACAATAAGAAAATACAGAAGAACAACTCTTCCTGTTCTTTTTTTTTTTTGGTGAAAAACTCGCAGCTGGGTCCTGTGTGTGTGTGTGTGTGTGTGTGTGTGTGTGTGTGTGTGTGTGTGAGGGCTTAATGAAACTAAACTTTCCCGGATGTTTCAATTAAGAAAAACAGGAATGATCAATATTCCAGTAATGGAACTTTTTAAGTTTATTGCTAAAGTTCATAAAATCCTCTTTTCACCCAGCAGACAGCAGTGGCATCCTACTCTAATTAAAGAGCATAGTTTTAGGCTCTTAGTCCAACTGAAAAGAATTTCTCGTCTTATGCTTTTAAAAAGTTTTCAGTTAGTTTTGCAAGCATCAAGCAGCAGCTTCATGCAGGTTTGCAGCCGTAATATTAGATTCTTATTACAAAGCAATGAAGTGCACAAGATCCTCCGCGCAGCTCGAAATGTAATTTAAAGTTTAGCTAAAAATAAAACTTACTCTAAAGCCACCAGATATGACATTTACATTATTATCGTGTTAGAATAATAATAATAATAATAATAAAATCACTTCTTAAAATCCATATTTTGATCGCGTAAAAGAGAAAGTCTGGAATGTGCCACGGTGTTAATAAAGATCTGTTTTTGGGTGCAAATAAATGAAAAAAAGAAGAGAAAATCTTGCATTGGGTTTTCAGAAGGATTTGAAATAAGCAGATTTTTTAAAATAATAATAACAATAATAATAATAATAATAATAATAATAATAATTTACCCGACAAGGACGAACGCATTTTCCACCTTCCTGTTTTAATAATTAAATATGATTGATTATTTTACTTCGTCACATGACAGATTCGCAAATGTCAAATCTGCTTTATATCGTTTTTACTAGTTTGAAGTTTCAGAAATGATCTTTTCTTTAAAATGGTAATAAATCAATCCTCCGAACTTAAATGACTTACTGCAAAATATAACAAACTTATTTATATGTTCACGCCAATGAAATCTCCTCATTTTGAGAACATCTGACTGTTGACTTCCTTCTGCTGCCTACAGGTTAAAATATCCCTCCAAATAAATAAATCACGAGCAGAGTTCTTACAACATTTCCAAAGACACGAATTAAATCCCATTTTCAGCTGAAAGGTTTAGCTGTAGAAAAATTATTGCCTCATTTTGGACGTCTAAACATGCTGTAAATTAAAGTCACTTTTGATTGTTTCCTCGAATTCGTTGTGGGTCTCCAATCACTTTAAACTGCTGTTTGGTTTGGATTCAGGGCGTAGGAGGAGTGGGAGGAGGGCGCTTTTTCATATTCAGAGAGGGGGTGCTCTTTAAGGATCTCGTTCTCTTTGGGGCTATAAAGACGTTGTGCCTTCAAGACAGAGCAAATTATCTTCATCGGCGAATTATTGCTTTACAAGTCGTCTCTACTCGTCGGTGCGCGAAGCGATTAGTTTCTCTTTTTTCTTTTTTTTTAGTGACATTTGATTAGAGCGAGCGGTTTTCGGTGAAGATGATGGAATACATGGAGGATAAGTTTGCCTTGAAAAGCCAAGCGATGAAGGCCAGCGATTACTACATGGATCAAGTCATGGAGAGCCTGGACAGCGCGCAGTACTTCACCAAGTCTTCCCCAAAATGTGTGCAGGCCTTCGGGCTGCAGAGCGGCGAGCACCGCTCCTCTCCCTGCGGGGATCAAACCCGTGAGTACGCTCATTTTTGCAAAGTCAAAGTTATCCCACAAATGTGTGCGCGAGTTAAACGAGTTAAGCGAGAGAGAGAGAGAGAGGGGGGGGGGGGAAGCTTACATTCCCCGAAGTCGATCTTTTCAATGACGTTTAGTTTTATTCTCCTATTAATTACAATTTCTTTTGGATTTTTATTTTCATTCTTTAAATCTAATCTATTTTTTTTTTAACATTATCTGATATATAAAATAATTTAATTTAATCTCCAATACAGGCTAGTAGGTTACATATTTTGGTGCAGTGACTAGCAAATTGAGACTGTTGTTGTTAACTTATCACTTATTTGTATTGTAGCCAGTTACAGTGTGCCAAAAACAGATGAAGACACCTTGCACTCTGACCTCGGGAGGCCCATGGACGGTTGTTGCACTCTGCGGGCGTCTCCGGTGACCACCGGCTCGGAGAAAACCGATTTGGATGACATGGGAGACAAGTGCGACAGTAACGTGTCCAGCAGCAAGAAGAGGAGACACCGGACGACCTTCACCAGCGCGCAGCTCGAGGAGTTGGAGAAAGTGTTTCAGAAGACACACTATCCAGATGTTTATGTGAGGGAACAGCTGGCAATGAGGACAGAATTAACAGAGGCTAGAGTGCAGGTAGAGTTTACCGACCGACTCGTTTTTGCTTAAACATAATGAGAACAGGAGCCTTTAAGCGCTGAAAGGCGTAGCCTAGTACGGCAGCGGGCGTTAATATCCAAATCCATACAGCCTATGTATACGTGAATATATAAGCATAAAGGTTTTGATAGTTGAAATACATTTTCATGTGTGTTTCTTTTAATTTTTTGTTTGAATGTTGTAACTTTTTTATTTTCTGTTGTCCCGTTTTTTTTATTTTTTATTTTTTTTTTAAATAGATTGGCTACTTTTCTCTCTTTCTGAGCCTTTGGGAAAAATAATATTAATAAATGTAAACATATTTTATATTTCTGTCTTTTTTCTTTTTACTTAAAAGGTGTGGTTTCAAAACAGAAGGGCAAAGTGGAGGAAAAGAGAGCGCTACGGGCAAATCCAGCAAGCCAAAAGTCACTTTGCAGCCGCCTACGATTTATCCGTGCTACCGAGGACAGACAGCTACACACAGGCAAGTATTGAGAATTTTATTTTATTTTATTCATTTTAAGCATTCATGGACTTTATTCTCAGCGTCAAAAGAAAATGAGTTTCTTTGTCAGCTGCATGGGCTGGAGGCAGTACTGTGCTTTATAAAGAATACGAACTCTTTACTCTCACTCCTTTCTAAACATCTCAGTTATGTAGGTCACTTCAAACTTAAATTAGTGCTTCGGCCACGATTGCTGATAAATCACTAATTATGAAACCCATCTTCAGATAGGAGCCTGAACACTGATTAGAGTCGCTGTGAGGCGTCATGTCTGAATGAATGAGCTTATATCAGATTGCATGTTGGCTGAGCATTTGTCTTGCTGTTTGGACAAAGGTCAGTTACAAGATGAGAGGAGGTGAGAAGAGAAGAGATGCAGAATGTCAGTGTTTTTTGTGTCTTTTTCTCCTTTTGTTAGGTGTTACATTAAAAACGGACACCAGGCCTTCAAGTGTTGTGGAGACTTTTAGGTTTTCAGAGATGTAAATATGCACACAGCAGCTCTGTAGAGAGATTCGCATTTACACTCTGAGTTTGAGAAAAACAAAAACAAAACAGCTGACGTGTTTGATTCCAAGAGGCAAAAATAATAAAATGTAGTAAAAGGCAGAGTCACAGCTCTGCTATACCCTGGCCGAACACCAGGTTAGAATTCTGTTGGACTGTCTCACATTTTTTCCTCACATATGTTTCTGATAGATTCTCCTGGATATGAGCCATGCCTGTTCATACAGCTGATCCCCATTACTATCAATAAACGGACAAACCTACTTGTAACCCTGTTGGCACTGGCTGTTTCGGTCTGCTGAAACACACTGGACATGAGTTGCATTGCTGTGGCTTTTAGAGAACTTTCTTTTTTTTCTGTCAGCGAGGTTTTCTGTTGTTGTTGATTTCTGTGCAAAAGTTGAAGTCATGCTTAACAATGATGCATGTGGTCAGAAGGGCACCAGTCGATTCTTATGCTAGTTTAACTTAAGGATGTTCATCTGACTCCCAAAACAACCTTAGTCAGTCAAAACGTATTTGGCATTTTGTCATTTGATTTTCAGAAAGCCATGCTTCAGCAAAATGAGCTCTACCAGTTTGGTTACTGTTGATGTGCAATTTGCAGAGTCTTTTAAAGAGGCAGACATATTTCAGTCACTCTTTTTTGACCGAGGAAATTTGCATGCTCCTTAGTTACATTGGCCTGTCCTCTCAGTTTATTGGAAATTTCGCACTGTGTCAGGATCAAATTATTTGGATGTGATCAAGCAGTCAGTAGACTCTGAGCTTATAAGTTAGACAGTCATCCTTCTGTAAGGTGAAGTTTATTAAAAATCGGTCATGTAGTGTATCTCTTGTGTTATCCTACTACTCCCTGACTAAATTTTGGCCACGTGACCTTTTAGAGTGAATTTAGGACATTTTAAACTATTCCGGAGTCACTACGACTGATAATCATACACATCACCATCAAACGTAATCATATCAGCAGTTCACTGAAAAATGTTCACTTAAAATTTCATGGAAAGATGCATTACAAACACAACCCTTTAAACAATGATTTTAAGTTTTCACGCTTTGTATAAAAATATTTTTGTCCACATTTACATTTATTGTATTATTAATATGCAACTATTTAAGATTCCTGTAAGTAGTTTTTACACGCTTTGGAGAATCAGGTCCGGATATTTTCTGAAGTTGACCTTTCAAGCATACAACATGTGGGATGCCCAAGCACTCACTGTGAATTTTTATTCTTACCTGGGCTCAGTTGGGCATCACTCAAACTTTGTATTATAGCGCTGTCAGTGTCAAAACTATGTAATATTCATTGCTATTCTCCTCTCTTTTTTTAGGTAATTGTTAGAAAACTTTAGTGCTACAGTAAAAGTTTAAAATCAGTTGCAACTTTCCAGTTGCATGAGATAACATATATATAAATAACAGAGGACATTTTAAAAACAACAACAACAACATTTTTTAGTGAAAAATACTTCTTTGTTAACTACATACACCGTATTCTCTGTATTTTCTGTTCCATATAGACAGTTCAAAAGGCAATAATTGTACCCAGGATACATCATAGTTTACTTTACAAGATCATGTCTGTAACCCTGTATTTACAATTCTCTTAAATTTTTTCAAATGGTATGTCACAGATAACAGG